GGCAAGTATGAACGGTTCCCCCCTCCGCCTATGTAAACGAGGTGTTTGTGACAATCATAGCAAATTCAATTTAATGTGTCATACATTTTTTCCAATTTACTAATCATGGTCAGAATTCCTGCAGTGAAGGAAACAGGGTATGAGACATGAAAAAGGTATTATATAGAATTTGCTTAGTTATTGAGTAAAATAAGTATTGTGATTTCGTTATTTATTACAGTTATTAAGTTGTAAATGCAATATGTAAAATGCTTACTCTGTAATTGACATTGCTAAATATTTCATTTTTTCAGAGTAGCATGCATGTACCTATCAACTTTAAGAATGTTTAAAGTTTAGGTACATAAGACTTATATGTACTGCATTGCAGAAATATCGGAATTCACAATCTTTTAGAAATCTCAAGTTTCTAAAAGAATTGATTTTGAGGTACTAGGAAGTAATGGCGGTTCGATTGTTGTCTTTTTTTATGATCTGGCCTGTAACACTTTAGGAGGCGCGATAGCTCAGTCGGTAGAGCAGTGGTTTCGTAATCCGGTGGCCCGGGTGCGATTTTTTTTTTCCTACGAACTTTGAGCTCGCGAGGGAACCTGCGCATGCGCACTCGCGAAGGAAACCAGCGCATGCGTACGTGGAATCCGGTAGGGTGGTCAATAGGGTGATAGTAATTATACAAAGCAATCTTTCATCAACTCATCGTTAGCTCAATCGGTAAGGACAGCGTGTTACTAATTGAACCTTGGAGTTGCCGTGAGGGTTCAAATCTCAGTTTATTTAGTTTTTTTACCTTTATAAATAGTGAGGCAAAGCAATAAATAATCAAAGTCTAATTGTTTGTGACCTCTTTGCATGCGTCAAGTATAACAGTTCGTATGTGAGCATGCGCCAGGTATAAAAGTTCGTAGGAAAAAAAAGTTCGCGGCCCGGGTTCGAAACCAAGTCGATGCGCTAGTGCCCTTGGTAAGGCATTAATCCTCATTACCAGGCCCTCGGATAGGACCTTAAACCGTCGGTCTTACTAACAAGCATTTATTGCTTTCTTAGCTGTCAGATAAAATAACCACCACTATCACTACCACTTTATAACTTAATTTGAAACCAAAAGTTTGGAATGAAAACTATAAGGATGGGATAAAATTCCATAGGAGACTTAAGTTTTCAGCTGGTGAAATGGCAGTCGAACCTTTAACAACGACATGTACACAAGTCGCAACAGAAATCCTCGGGTATATATTTACTCGATAAGTAGAATCTTAAATAAAAAGTAAAAATCTTTGAGTGACCGGTTTTACTATACTTATTTTCCCCAATTGACTGTAGTGTTATGAAAACCGTTTGGCAAACCGTTTTTTTTTTAATTTGTAATTCCAATCATAAATATCTTGATTATCAGACAGGCGATCGGCTTGTAAAAGTCAAGGGGTTCCTGACTGACCTAAAGGTTTATGTACTGGCGATATGAATTGACTTTCACCTTACAAAACAAGTTATAAGAAGATCTTGATAAAATTTATTTTTCATTGCATGTCCATCCAGTTAAGTCTTTTCCAAAGATTATATGTGGAGAATATACTGAATCTTAGTCTTTCAATTTGAAATATGTTTTAAAGACTTTTATATTTTTTTAAAGAATTTATTGAATTAAAGGAATATTGTTGTTGTTGTTGTTCAGTTAGCTATTATGCAGAATTTCAATTCTATCCTGGATCATGTAACTAAATTGTACTTTTAAAGCCATAAATTTGATTGCAAATTATATTTGTGATAATAAGATTTTGTACGTGTGTTAGCCAAGCTGAACTTTAAAGTTTCTCTATCAAAGAAATGTTGGTATAATAATGCATCATATTGTATACAAGATACTTTACAGCACGGGTGGCCAACCCGCGGCCCGCGGGCTTTTCTGGTGCGGCCCGCGGAGCATTAAAGAAGTGATAATAAAAATAGCTCATGAATGAAATGCGGCCCGCATAGCAGCGATGAAATAGGGTAAAACATTCACAAACAGCTATCTCTATTTCCATAATTTGTTCCCATCATTCACAACATATTGAATCGTTACGTGGTTGATACAAAACTCCTAAAATTTCCTCTCATTACATTACATTAACGACATTAACACCCGGGGGGGGGGGGGTATTCACCTATCACATACGGGGGTGTGCCACTCTAATGGGTGACTTTGTCACAAAAAAATCCCTAAACATGGGTCCCACTTCTAACAAAAATACCATTAAAAATGGGTCCGTTTCTTCAAAAATTTCAAAATTTCGGGCGTTTGCCATGCAAATACCCCAAAACATCCGAAAAACATCCGAAAATTGTGAAAAATGGGTCTTTTTTCGAGAAAAATTACCCCTAATAATGGGTAGGGGTTTCGAGGCTTGAGCGGCACACCCCCGTCCAAGCCAAATCTGAGTATCCCCCGGGCATTAACATCACTCGCCGTGTTAATTTCAGTTTTTACATATACAAATTAATGTTGTGAATCGAGAAATAAATTATGTTTGAAATGCTATACTTGACTTGAAACTTGCAGCCCTTTTCTCCCGCCGTTTTGTTTTGCACTGATTTTTTTTTTTGCTTATTTTTTTTTGCAAAATTGCAGGTGTGTACATGTATTGCATGAGTGTTTTTTTTTTTTTTTTTTTTTTTGGGGGGGGGGGGGGGGAGATGACTGCCTATGGCCCGCCAAGTTATGCCATTCGTTAGCTGTGGCCCGCGAGCTTTAAAAGGTTGGCCACCCGTGCCGTAGGGGGTAGTTGTCTAGGGGTAATTGTCCGGGGTAGTTGTCCCAGCGGGTCGTTGTCCGTTCTTTCCCTTTGTAGCACTACTTGAACTTTTGCAAAGATTTTACAATCTGTAGATAACATTTCGTTGATATATTCTATTGTATTTTTGTATTGGTGTGGTTTATTGAGATAAAAATCATCGACCATGCAGCAGATAGCTGAAACTGTTCAAGTTACACAGTCAAAATTACATGGCATAAAAATTACATTAAAAGATAAGGAAAACAATTCAAGTGTTGTTTACATTTAGATACAATTTAAAAGTTTTATTGTTAATATATAATTGCAATTTTTTGGAGGAAAATAAAAATTGATATTTAATAATTTACAGTTAATTGCAACAATGACGGAGTAGGTGGCCCACGAAGTCTGATAAAGATTGAACAATAAAATTGTTTCCAGCGGCTTTGTTGCCAAATTTTAGCTGATGACCCTCTCCTATCAAAAGCACCTCTTCCCCTCCCAGGTTAGCAATTCTTGTACCAAGGATTTTTCAAATATACAAAGAAGTGCGCTTATCTTCAATATGTTTCATAATGCCGGTATATTTAGGGATATAATATTTATATAGGCAGATAACAGACTCTTAGGAAGCAGCTTACTATGAGTCGCCCTGGGAACTTTGAACTCTTAATCTGAGATAATTTGTTGGGAAAACACTTGAAAAACTTATGCCTTATCAAATCATGACAGGTCGACTAAATCACCCAGTTATTGGTCTGTAAACTGTGGGTCTGTGGGAGAAACAGGTCAATCTAATAGCATCAGACATTTACCCCTCTAAAGATAACAATCATACTTCGGCGATCTGCCTTTTGAAATCAACACAATTGAACATTACATATATCGGTACTTAAGGATCCACGCAAAACTTAGGATTGAACAACGTAGGAAAGATGTTACTGCTATCACAAACTGTAGTTACTAAGCGTTGGTCTAATGTACTCTATTTATTGATGTGGCACTTGTATCAGGGAGGGGAATGGGGAGGGGTGCAGGGTGTCACCAGTCTTACAGTTTGGATTAAAAGCGAGATCACAACCTCGTCGAGTGAGGTCAGGATAACTCCCGTCTCTCCTCATTTACTTTTCTCTTTTCACTCCTTTACTTCATCAGTTTTCATATTTTTCTTTTCTAGTTTTCAATACAGGCCCACATGTCCAGTGCTGATAAAACGAAATGAATAATCTGAATCGAAGTAAACGGAGTCGTCTGGTTCTAAATTGTTGTTAATTATAATTAATTGAATGATGATTATGATAATTTTTAGAATTCAAATCGTGTAAAACTACGGTCATGGTGATGGTCCTAGTCTGGTGCAGTCATATCAATTCCACTTGTTGAGCAAACAATAGATACATGACCCGTCAGAATAAATTAAAGGAGTTTCATAAAAACTAAATAGCTAGTCAGCACTGGCAAGTATTTTGATAAGTCTCATACTATTGTTGATTTACTTATGCTAATAGCGCCTTGATGACTCGGTAAATACAGAGTTGAACGCCATTTGCTTATAAGACTTTGCATTTGTTTGCTTCGGTAATCACAGAAGTTTGCTAATTGTTAAGTGCATCACAAGGCCAAATGAAAACAAAATTAGGGTGTATGGAAGTCAGGTGACATAACTGTATCAATGATGTACGTGCTATTACCACGATTACGAGGAAAAGAAGTCGCTCTTCAGACTTCACCATAACCGTCAACCACTCATATTTTATATTTGAGAGCTATATTGATCGTCATAGAAAAATTGAATTTTAGACCGTGTACAAACTTTAAAGAAGTAAGTACCATGCATGATGGGTGTTCTATTCTGTCAAATTATGTAAGCAATGATGATTGTGTCTGTATTCTATTTTGTTTCGTAGTTACCGCAGTTTATCTTGTCTCGTTGGGTGTCTAGACGATGAACGACTGTATTGTTCAACTAAGTGAACAAATAAACTTCTTGCAAATTTCTTGCATTGTTTTCTCAAAACAGTGTTTACAGGTGTCACTGAATGATATAGTTATTGAATAATTTCTTTTATGATTTTATTATGTTTTCTATTGGACTTGATGATATTCTAAAATGATTTGACACTCACACGTTTTATGACATTGCTCCTATTGTAGTCGCTAATAATAGTTATTAGCCAAGAAACATATATCGTGCTTCAGCTTATGCAATATTTTTCAGATTTATTTTTTCATTTTTTTCACAGAGGAAACACGTCATAATACTGAAGATGGCGAGGGTTTCGTCCAATAAGTTGATTTGTTGGGGTGTGACCGGTGCGATCATGGCCAGTATCGGAATCGTTCTCATTCCCGTCACAGATGTCGTCATTTTAAAAGTCTTGGAACAGGTAAGTTACAAAACAAGCTGCCCTATTTTATTGAATAAGAAGTTACTCTAGCAATCTAGCGGGTTCGACGCAGTAGAAAGGAATGTCTTTTTTTCTTTTTAGATCTATGATCAATCTTTGCTATTTTGTTTTTATAGTAACGTAAAAAACTTGATGATACAAAGGATTGAAGACACTATACAGTATATATACCATTCAACGTTATAAGCTATGGTGAATGATCGTGCTATAATGTTGACGAACAGACATAATATTATGCTCTCTCACCCATTTCCTGTCAGCTATACATGTTTTGTCGTTTATATTATTTGCTGATGATTCTTCAGTGTTTTTCTCACATAAAAACCCCAATTCACTACTTGAAACCATAAATCTTGAAATGAAACTTGTTGAAGAGTGGATCTGTGCTAACAAACTTTCCTTGAACTTAAATAAAACTCAATGTATGCTCTTCAGCAACTCTATTTCGGGATTGCCTGGCAATGTTTACATTAATAAAACAATTATAAACTTAGTTAATTCGTCAAAATTCCTTGGTTTTATCATTGACAATAAACTTTCTTGGAAAGAACACAACTTATATTTAAGTAAAACACTATCAAGGAACATTGGAATAATCAATAAATTCAAAATGTCGTTTCCTAAATATATTTTGAAAAGTTTGGACTCAACGCTTATCTTGCCTTATCTTAACTATGGCATACTTGCGTGGGGTAATTCGTTTAATTACCAGTTGGACAAATTATTGATACTTCAAAAACGCGTCATACGAATAATCTGCCACACTAATAGGTTAAGCCACACTAATAGCTTATTTTTAGAAAATAAAATATTGAAAGTTCATGACTTGTATAATTTCTTTTTAGGCTGTTTTATGTTTCGATTAAATTCTAAGGAACTTCCTCATGCCATTTCATCGACATTCAAAAAGAATCAAGAACTTCATAATTATCCAACCAGACAGTCTTCCTTTTGTCACTTACACAAACTGAGAACCTTACTAAAAAACAACAACTTTGATTTATACTGGTCCGGTGTACTGGAACTCATTGGACATTTCGCTCAAACAGCTGCCAAGTTTAATTACGTTTAAATATCACTTGAAACATAAACTTCTTCTTCAGTGTGAGAATGTTTAAGGTCATCATGATTAGAGACCATCGGTATTATCAACACTTGTTGGCTGGCTGCACCACACACCCGTTTTTTTTTGTGTTTTTTTCTTTTCTTTTTTTATAAATTATGTAACGAACGTATTATGTAAAGGGAACCTTAATTACAAGCATAATGCTTCCAAGGTTTCCTCCTCATTACTGCAGATTATTGTTAGCATCATTTGTATTTAATGACTTGCCATTAAATCGTTTTTATTACTGTTGTATCTATCAAATATTATGTACATATTTTGTTACCTTGTCTATACCTTACTTTGTAAATTCTTTTCATATGCAGTTAATGTGGAAATAAAACCTAAATAATTTTTTTTTTAAATACAAATACATGTATATGTGAGGATGTTGTAATCCCAAAATCTTAATCCCTCACTCACCTCCTTCATATCTTCCTCTTTCTTTTCCCCTTTTCTTTCATCCTTTTCTTTCTCCTCTCTCTCTGTCTCCCTTTCTCTTTCTCTGCCCATTTCTCTTTGTCTGTCTCTATCAATCTGCTCCCCTCCCTTCTCCACCACCTCTAATTCTCTCTCTTTCTCTCTCTATCTCTCTCTCTCTCTCATCGTCTCTCACCGTCTCTCTCTCTCTCTCTCTCCCTCACCGTCTCTCTCCCTCTCTCTCCGTCACTCTATCTTCTGCTGTCCCTCTCTCCTCACCGTTCTCTCACTCCTATGTAATAGGAGGGAATCATTGTCCCCAGCGCCCTGGCCTACCCTCTATGGGAAGAGGTCCCTATCCCAATTTATTTCCAGTTCTGGTTCTGGAACCTCACCAACCCCGAGGAGTTCTTACAAGGTGGACCAGCCAGACTAGTAGAGCTGGGACCTTATACCTACAGGTGGGTAAACCTCGGACAAAGGAATGTATACAGGCCTACATAATCACCGTTACCCCCACCCCCTCTCTCTTTCTCTCTCTCTCTCTTTCTCTCCAGCTTTCTCTTTCTCTCCCTTTCCCTCTTTCTCTTCCTCTTTCTTTCCCTCTTTCTCTACTTCTGTCTCTCCCTTCCCCTCTCTCTCAGGCACCGTATTCTTTTTTTGTTATCATAATGAGACCTATGTACATGTATTTATTTTTAAAGATTATTATCTGGTGAACCAAAATGTCTAACTCAATACATCAATTGATTTTTTTTTTAGGAAAATCAAAAAAAGGTATCAGTTTTCAAAAATATCACAATTTTCCTCCTTTTTACTTTTTGACACCCCCATTCAAATTGGTCTGGCGACTCCCCTGAAAATGTTGACAATTAGGTAACAAAATTTACTTGTTGGACATCGATCTCTATCACACTCTTAATCAAGCATATGAATTTCCATTCATACATTTAATTGATTATACAATTAATGATATATGTAATAATAATAATAATATTTAGCTTTCATGATGACGATGTATCTCTATAATTATCAAATAAAATCACACTCTTTAATTTCTCAACCACGCACCAGGGAGTATCGTCCCAAGGTGAACATAACTCATTACGATAACCGGACAGCAAGCTACCTCAACATGAAGAGTTTTGTCTTTGATCTGGAGATGTCTGTCGGTCCCGAATCAGACACCTTCACCGCAATCAACGGTCCTGTCTTTGTGAGTACATGACTGTGGCAAATGAAAGACATATCCCTAATACGTAACATACAAGTAGAGTCCTTCTCAATTTCCCATCCAAATGGCACCTGAAAACCTAATTTGGCATATGTGTCTTTATTTTTGCTAGTCCGAAATCTTTATGTGTAGATTGCAACCTGAAAATTTGATGACCTTTCCTCTCTTTTTGATTTGTCAGAATTTGGTACTGACTTCTGTGCCTCTCCCTCCTGCAAAAACATAGATCCTCCCCTTCATAGTGGATTTTGGATGAGTAGAAATGGCATCTTCCATGTTTTTCACTCAATGTTAAAAGGTCCACGGAGCCAAAACCAAGTTGTTGAACATTTTGTCTCGTGAAAACTCATCACTTATCTGAACTCAATTTTAAATTAGGGGTGGTATTTTTGTTTAGTAAATTCTTATCTCGAATCACAATTTAAAGCTCAGTCCCTTATCGAGTATGCATAATACTCAGAAACGTCACAGTGCTTTAGTAGTCAAGTTTTGAACCATCAGCGTTCCTTCCATTTGATGACATTTCCTCTTTACCTCAAAGACTATTGCCCACTGGCTCAAGAACGCCCCGGACTTGGTGCAGAAGGCTTGGAAGCTCATTCACGAGCTTTCCAAAGCAGATGTCATCATAGAACTTTCAGTTGATGGCTTCGTCTGGGGCTATCCGGACAAGTATTTGGAACTAGCCCAAAGGATTCTTGGTGAAGAAGTCGTTCCTTTTACCAACTTTGGGATACTATTGGGGGTAAGAGGTTTCTGTTGTGTTCATATTGTCTAGAAGTCGCCGTTTCTCTTTTTACAATCTGGCATTGTCCATCCTTTGTTTTTCTCTCTGTTCCAATCTCTCTGTCTGATTGCCTGTCTTTCTCCTCTTTGCTCTTCGCCCCTTCCCCCCCCTTTTCCTTTCTCTCTCTATCTCTCTCTCTCTCTCTCTCTCTCTCTCTCTTTCGCGCCCTCTCTCTACCTATTTCTCCCCCTCTCTTTCTTTCCACATTCTTTAATCCCACACCGGTCTACCAATTTTAATTAATTATTGTCAGTACTCCTTCTCGCTCTAAGTATATCCTGCTCTCTCTCTCTCTCTCAGTACAATACTGGTCATGATGGTATTTTGGTCGAAACAGGTGTCTGCCCCCTCTCTCCTACCAGTTTCATTTGTTTATTTATCATCCCTTTTCGCTTTATTCCATCTCACTCTTTCTTATTACAATAATAGTTAATATGATGGACATCTCTTTTGTGTATACCGATGATTGTTTCTTTCTCTCTCTCTCTCTCTCTCCCTCTCTCTCTCTCTCTCTTTCTCTCTGTCATTTTCATCCTACCTCTATTGAAACGAGTGTCAGTTTCATTTAAAATTAATAACAATAATAACTACATTTATGAGGCGCTTAATACAGGCGTTTCTAGGCGCACAGGTGGTACTGCATAATTCAGTTAAATTTTCAACATGGTCAATAGCTTAAAAGCAACAAAATAAAATATTACTAATACTAATTACTAATTTATCTCTCTAATTCTACCCTGCTCTTTCTCAGACCCGACAAAAGTGATGATGGCATTTTGGTTGATTCAGGTGTCTGCCCCCCCCCCCTCCCCCCTCTCTCTCTCTCTCTCTCCCTCTCTTCATTCTCCAACCAGTTTCAGTTATATATTTAACTAATACTCATTCTCGTTTTAATTCTCTCCTGATCTTCTTTTCCGTACAAGTGATGGTGTTTGGTCGGCGCTTAACGGTGCCCCCCCCCCCCCCACTTCCCTCAAAAGTGATGATGGCACTTTGGTTCATTCAGTGTGTTTGCCTCCCCCTTTCTCTCTCACTCTCTCATTCTCCAACCAGTTTCAGTTATGTCAAGTTTCAAGTTTTACTGTCCACATTTTACAGAAAATATAGACATACATATATAATAAAAATTATACAATTCAATTGTAGTATAAATGAGCGCATCTCAATGATTCTCAATTCATATAATAGATTAAGTAGAATGTGAGGAACCTATTAAAAAGCAGTGCTTGTATAATATAGGTTCCTGGAAAAAATAAGTAATGTAGATGAAAAACAGTAGCAGTAGAGAAAGACGTAATTTAGAGGAGAGAACTTAAAACACACAAAAAGGGACATTTGTATACAAAATAATGCATTAGCACCAATACCCAGAGTCACCCGGTTAAAATGCGTAGTCAAAATGCGTAGTCATCCGAGCAATTTAGTAAGCATAGCACAAAGTAATTTGTTTTCATACATTACAATAACGGAACATGCATCATTAATGAACAATTAAGATTAGCATTGCAGAAAAAAGGACTGTGGGGAGGGCAAACAATTATATTAGATGTAAGAATTTAAAAGAAAAGTTCGAAGTTTGCGTTTAAAGGTACTATGTCCCATTTGCAGGCCAAAAAAATGAAAAGGTTAAATTCCAACGGCATTTGAAAGACAATACTAATTTAGAACTTCCCTAGAGAAAGGGGGGGGGGGGGGCTTGAAAATGTCTTTAAGTGGGAAAATAACGACTATTAGTTTTCAAATCGACTTAGTAATAATAGTAAGTAATAGTCTGATTTTTCAGACCATTGTACCGAATGGTCGTTCGTTTTATGCTGCACAAAGATTTAATCAGTGTATTTTCGGCCATTACAAGAAGTGGGTTATTGATGTAGACAAATGCTCATGTACCCTTTACAGCTCATTTTATGTATGTTATTACCAAAGATGAAAAAGGGTCAGTCAGTCACTCAATGGTGTCTGACAGTGAAGTCTAGCGAGTAAACGGGTTTCCTTGCATAATTGGAATATTAGGACGCTGCTAACGTTTAAATTTCACAGATAGAGCATACATGACATATTCATAATTCCTGCACAGTTCTACAGAATTTGATGTTGGCTGCAAAAGGGACATAGTATCTTTAACACAGTCTTTTGAATGTTAAATCTGAGATACACGGTTCTACATGTTATCAGTGTCTGTGATATGATGTAATACTGAAGCCCTAAAATTATTGCGCTTCAAAATGATCAAGAAGTGCCTCAAAAAAGTAAAAATCTTTGAGTGACCGGTTTTACCATACTCGTTTCCCCCAATAGACTGTAGTGTTATGAAAACCGTCAGGCGAACGGTTTTCAAAATTTGTAATTCCAATCATAAATATCTTGATAATCAGACAGGCGATCGGCTTGTAAAAATCACTGGGTTCCTGACTGACCTAAAGGTTTATAATTATCATTGCATCATGAGCTAAATCAAGAATATGTTTTCAGAATCTGAGACAAAGTTACCGGATCCCTTTAAAGCAATTTAACGATGGTGCTTTCTTAACCTCCGAATCCAAACCATTCCAAAAAGAGGGACCGGTATACATGATTGTTTTGGGGGCAAAAACTGTCCGGATTGGGGGGAGATGGAAATTGTCTCTTTGTCTTGTGGGATAGGAGTAAATAACGCTGTTCAAAGCGAACATAGGAGGGAATATATTGGGCAAATTATCCTTGCTTAGCTGATACATGAAAATTCCGAGGAAATAAATGTTTAAATCAGGTACTTTCAGAAAACGATTTGCAAGAAATAAAATTTTGTGTGGGCCTGGAAATCTGCCAGATTTATTATTCTTATTGCTCTCTTTTGGATCATAAAAATTGAATTGATTTTTTTTTTTTTGAACAATTTCCCAACGCTAGCACCCCGTAATTTAGATACGGTAGCAACAGAGTTGAATATAATATTTTTAAGACATGAGATGGAAAAGAAGATTTCAACTTTTGTATTTATTACACCTACGTTCCTAGACAACAGTTAGCATAAATGATCAATTTGATTTTTCAGTCAATAAAAAGACTAAGAAATTTAGTGGAGTTTATCTGGGTTAAGGGTAATCCATTAACCAAAACTGGTAGCTCACATAGTGTATTGCTGAAAATCATAAAATTAGTTTTGTTCAGATTCAGGGATAATTTGTTTGTTTGTATCAATTCAACTACAAAACGCAATTCAAAATACAGGGAATCAAGAAGAATTCTAGGATTGGGATGTGAGCAAAAAATGCTTGAGTCGTCTGCAAAGTGTAGGAACGAAAGAACCATGGATGAATTTATGAAATCATTTATATAGATAATAAAAAGAAGCGGGCCCAAGAGAGCCTTGTGGTACCTCACAAGTTATTGATCAAATACTTGAGTTACAATCATTAATAGAGACAAATTGGGTTCTGTTGGTAATAATTAATAATAACTAGCTCTAATTCTCTCCTTCATGATCTTCTTTTAAGTACAAGTGATGGTATTTGGTCGGCGCTTAACGGTGTCCTCCCTCCATCTGTCTCCCTTTCTGACTCCCTTTCTGTAATTCTTAAAATCCCATCTTAATTGATACCAATATATATTCTATCTTGCTCTTCTCAGTATAACAACAGTGATGATGGCGTTTGGTCGGTGTATACCGGTGAAGATGATCTTATGATGCTCAATCAAATGGATATGTGGAACAGGGAGAAGTTACTACCTTGGTGGACTACAGACTACGCCAATGCCTTGAATGGAACAGGTCAGTAATATTGGTGATAGTGGTACTAAAAATAGTGTTAATGAAAATAATAATAATCAACCAATGAGAAACATATAGCTCTACTAATTAGGCTTGATAAGGAACAATGAAATAAGAGTTTGCTTTTCGAACATTTCGCGGTTCTTTTTCATACTTTGCCAATTACACTACTATCCGATACACCCGATTTTTCATAGACTCTTTTCTGTTTACTTTCAAAAGGGGATGCAACCAACATACCCGTAAAAACAACCCCAAAATTGATGGTGATAATATCGATAATAATTTTTAAAAATCAAACAAGAACGACGACAACAATAGTAATAACAATAATGATAATAATAATAATACAAACAATAATAATGATGGTAATAATAAAAGAAGAGGAAAAAGAAGAAGAAAAGAAGAAGATTATAATTATGATTATGATAATAATCATTACATTCATACAGCGCTTTATACTAATTTCTCTGTGCGCTTTATTACTATTACCCCGGTTTTAAAGGCACACTGTCCTACTTGTAGCTACTTGCTCCCTCTATATAGAAAACTTCCCCAATCGGTGCCTGTTGGTCCCCCATGATCCTCTTTTTCTTATGTTAAATGAGAGCAGAGTTAATGAGATAGCCACCTGTCACAGTGGCCTCGCTGGCTCGCTGGGTGGTCTAATCCCTTGTAGCTGAAGTAGTAAAGCCTACCTTTAACCGAATTACCCTGAAAGGCGCCCTGCCCTGGCATTCAAGGAATTTATCTTTCCGGGTACCCATTTATTTCAAGTGGGTGGAGAGTGGTAAATGGACACCAATGTTTTGCCAACTAGTGCCATATCAGTGATTCGAACTGCATACCTTGCGATCCATAGTCCGATGACATACCCACGAGACCGGCCACAACACCTTCAGGTACCCGTGGCGTCTCCGCCTAGATAAATATAGTATCGAAAATAATATCGCTAGTGATATTCGTTTGTCTCGCAATGTGGTCAATAAGGAATCTAAAAGTTCACGACGTTTCGTGCGCTACTGCAACACTTCGTCAGGTGATAAAAACTACTGTGAGCACCTGACGAAGTGTTGCAGTAGCGCACGAAACGTCGTGAACTTTTAGATTCCTTATTGACCACATTGCGAGACAAACGAATATCACTAGCGATATTATTTCCGATACTACATCCGCAATCAGGCGCGCCGGAAGCAGTTTGGGATTGGGGGGGCAAACATTCCAGGGGGCTCACATTCCAGGGGCAGTGACGTAATGAGAAAAAAAGTTCGGAAGGGGGGGGGGGGGCAGACGAAAAATCTGCATCACCACCAGTCTTACACGTTACATGCAGGTCCCGCGAAACGTTTTTCAAAGTGGAGTATTATTGATCAGGTAGAGCGTAAATTGGCGTGGGGTCCAGGGCATGAGCCTCGGCAGGGGGTCAAGGGGCTGAGCCCCCGGAAGCTCAGGGGTTTTAGGTATTTAATTAAGGTCAGATGAGCATCCAGGGGGCCGCCTTAGGGCCCGTGGTGGGGTCCAGGGGGCAAAGCCCCGGAAGCTCAGGGGTTTTAGGTATTTAATTAAGGTCAGATGAGCATCCAGGGGGCCGCCTTAGGGCCCTTGGTGGGGTCCAGGGGGCAGAGCCCCCGGAAGCTCAGGGGATTTAGGTATTTAATTAAGGTCAGATGAGCATCCAGGGGGCCGCCTTAGGGCCCTTGGTGGGGTCCAGGGGCAAAGCCCCGGAAGCTCAGGGGTTTTAGGTATTTAATTACGGTCAGATGAGCATCCAGGGGCCCGCCTTAGAGCCCTTGTTGGGGTCCAGGGGGCAGAGCCCCTGGAAGCTCGGGGGTTTTAGGTATTTAAATACGGTCAGATGAGCATCCAGGGGCCCGCCTTAGGTCCCTTAGTGGGGTCCGGGGGCAGAGCCCCCGTAAGCTCTGGGGTTTTAAGCATTTAATTACGGTCAGATGAGCATTTTTTATACCTTATTTGTGACATTGGCAGGTCACTTATTTTTTTCTCCGTCTTTCTTTCTTTTTCTCTTTAACATACTTTTTCAAAAAGGAGGGGGGGGGGGGAGGGGGGGGGGGGCTCGAGCCCAGCCACTTTGCAGACCATGACATAAAGGCTTCTAAATAAGCGTATTTCGCCCGACTGTAATTTGGGAATTTCTTATTTTCCAACAAACACATAAGAAGGTATGACTTACAAAAAAAATGGAGAAAAAATGCCGGAAAATCATGTCACAACATCAACATTTGTATATCACTTGTTTCGAATAAGAAATACATCACCCCCCCCCATCAGTACGCCAACGTTCAGGGGCTCATGTCTTCTCACCCCTATAACAAAAAAACGGACACGCTTTCCCATTCTCGCACAATATGTCCACGATATGCGCGTATCGCTATTATAGAGACCTCCATTGATAAATACCGTATAGGTGGCATGCGCAATGTTTATGAAATTTAATTCCTGTGAACTTTCCTTTTTCTTTGAATGGAATTGTATATGTGATTTAATTCAGGTTTTTATTATTGTTACGTTCTTTTGGATTAAAAATACAAACCATGTTTACTCCTTTACTGTTTTTTTTGTTTTTTTGGAGGGGGGGGGGGCGTTTTGGGGGGGGGGGCAAAAATGCGTTTTGCCCCCCCACTTTTTTGACTGGGGGGGCAACTGCCCCCCCTGCCCCCCCACTTCCGGCGCCTATGTCCGCAATGAGTAATATATTTAGCATAAATATAGTAGTTGTCAAATATTATTATAAACTTGTTTATTTTTTCTCCCCATTTCAGATGGGACGATAATGCATCCATTCGTAGACAAAGATGAAGAGGTGTATGTTTACTCTACCTATGTGTGTCGGTAAGTCTAACAACTCCCTAGGGAATGGAAATCAGCTTTTGTGATTTTGTCATGATTAATTAGGGATGACTTTGTTTTTGAGTGGAAATTCACGCTCATATTAGTGGAATCCACTCCCAAAAGATAAGTTAACCACTACTTTGGGATGGATTCCACCTAGTTAACTTTATGGAGTGGAAAACGAGGTGATTCTTAGAGTGGATTTTAACTTCTCTGCATTAAAAGAAAAAATGTTCAGGAATCACTGTCCAAGTTTAGCGTTCATGACAAGCATTTGATATTATATTCCTCAAATTGTACAGAAGCTGCATCATAAACGAGTACAAACCCATTATACAAACTACGTGATGCTGCGATTATTGTAACCCATACGAGCTCTCTCAATGAAAAGATAAATAGAGGAGGTGGTGTGGGCGTGTGGTTTAGCGGAATAACTGATTTTCTTTGAGCTGTTATTTAATTATTTAAGCAAAATTTTGTTTGAATTATTTGCAGATCTGGCTTGTTGGTGTTTAAGGGGTACCGGGAGTTTCGTGGTATATGGTTGTATTACTTTAGCGCACCAGAGTACCTGTATGCCAATGCCAGCATCTACCCCACTAACATCGATTTCTGCACCCCTGATCAGACTACCTGCCCCCCTACAGGATTGATCAATGTCAGTGAATGCTATTTTCGTAAGTAAACATTAATAATATGATTAACGTGGCCTCATTTGCCCAGAGTAGCTATATAAGTATCAATACTGCTGTTGCTTCCTATTTCATTATACTTCCTTCCCTTTACTGTTTCAGTATCATTGCTTTTTTTTCGCTACTGCTTACCGGATTCTTTACTTGACTAATTCGTGATTTTATCATTTAATTATTATGATTATTTTTTGTTTTAGTATTATTAGTATTGTTTGTTGTTTTTGATTTTGTTTATATTTATTTTATTCATTTGTATCTGGCAATAAATAAAATACAAAATAATTCAGGGAAAAAAAAAATGTTTTACAAGTTTAGATAATGCAATCTCTGGAACGCCAGGGTTAGAGAAAAAAGTTATCGTAACTAGGGCATAAAGCCCCCTTCCAATAACCAGTTTTTGTTAACATAAAATACATTAAGTTCGGTGTCTTCACTCAAAGGACATTAGAAATGTGTATAAATAGATTATACCCACTCTGAGACAAATCAAGAAGTCAACAAATTTTGTATGTGCGATTGACCGTGGTCTTTATAGAGAGCTGATTACCATGATAAACTCTTTATCAATCAAACTGGTCAGCAAAGTAATTATAATGAAAACATAACAAACAACAATGAATGCAAATCATTACTTAGAGCATTATATGTCGAGAGTGATCCGGCCGGGCGACAAAGTAATATCTTTTGACTAGCCGTATAATTTAACAATTCTTCTATTCGCCTGGCCAAGCGAACGGGGCTCCTTCTCTTGCTGGTTTTGCACAGACAAGAGACACGCATGAGCGAAGGTGACTTCCCGCCTGAAATCCTGAGCGTTACATCCGGCATTAGCCAGGCAATCTCAGCTTAGGCCCAAAAAAAAATTTGGTTGTCCTCGATTGCTTTTCTGGAGTAGGGGCGGGTGGGTGGACGGATTTTAATTATTTTTTTATTTTTTTCTTCATTTTTTGTGTCTTTTTTTTTTTTTTTTTGTCTCCCCCCATTTTTATTCTTTTATTTTTTGTATTAATATTTTTCCATAAAGAAATAAAAATTCATTGGGATGTCAAGCATTTAAACAAACAAAGTCTATAAAACACTTTAATATGGTAAAAGACTAGTTTAATGAATTATATACACTTAAAATATTGTATCAAACCATATTATGTTTATGTAAATTTATGATGAAGAAAAGAAAAAAGATGCAGAAACCAATATATCAAATCAAGACCAACACAGAAAGTATTTTTGGCTTCGAAATACAGCACCTTTTAAATCCCCACTGTACTACTTATAGCTACTTGTGCCCTCTATATAGCAAACAATGCCTAATCGGTGACCATTGGCCCCATGATCCTATTTATCTTATGTTAACTGAGAGCTGATTTGATGAGATAACCACCTGTCCAGTGACCTTGCAGGGTGGTCTTATCCCTCCTGTAAACTAGTATAGATAGGCTTTAAAATGAGTTTAAAAATGCTCAGAAACTGATTTGAATGAACGGCATTTTGACATAGAAAAATAAAAATGGCAAGTTTAATAAATACAGAATTGCGTACTGAAAAGGCCAAACTGGCAACGGGACGCATTTTGATCCTTGCAAAATGCATAAAATGGTATATTTGGCATTTAAGAATGCTCCCCCCCAAAAAAAAAAAAAAAATAATAATAATATTAATAATAATAATAATAAATAAATAAATAAAAAAATACGAGAGGCCCGAAATGACCAACCAAAAACGTGGTGAGCCTAACGACTTCCCGGTTAAGACCCTGGGCAATACTGATTGTATCCCCAGCGTACGGACAAGTCAGGCTCGTAAAATTGTTTAGATACCGCAATAAAAACAATCCTCTAATATCATAAAATTTTGTCTCCCCTTCCTAACAGACCGCTTGCTCTAGTTTTACATTAAGACAACAAATATATGTCTTATATCTGCGATTATAGGCGTCCAAATTCGCATGAATGCCGCGAAATGGACGAATTAAATGCAGACGAATTAATTCACCTGATGAACATCCAAAATGTATTATGTTTCAAAATATAAACAGAACAGTTTGTGTTTTCTGTCTTGAATATTTCGTAAACAGAAGCACCTATTTATCTGTCATCACCACATTTTCTCTTTGGGGATGATAGACTTTTCGATGACGTCATTGGCATGACACCTGACTTCAATGTTCATGGAGTAGAGGCTGAAATTGAACCGGTAAAAAACACGCTTAATTTGCCTTTTATATATGTTCTCCTTTTTCTTCATGTTCTAATAAGTCCTTGTTGTTATTCATCAGCTTTCCTCGTCTTCTCCTTCTTTACTTTTTTTCTTCATCATTACTTCTTCTGCGCCTTTTAAAATGTTAATTTGTCTTTGTCCATCCTTAGAAAATATTCGATATTTATTATTCTGTTTGATATATTTGTTATTATTGTTACTCTCCATCTCGATCGGATTCCATCATTCTGTTCTTCGTATACCCTTTCGCTTTCTCATATGTTTATGTTGCTTTTAATGCATGTACATATTCCATGTCTTACAAAATAGAGACTGTCAGGCGCGGATCCACGTGGCGATTTTTCCGGCCTGCCCCCACCCCCCCAGCCCCAAAAACTGTTTTTTTTAAAATAGGGTAAAAATGTAAATTTAACCTTTTTTAAAACAAAAAACGAAAGCGGCCCCCCACCCCCCCCCCCCCCATAAAAATAATAATAATATTTTCGCTCACACCAAAACAAAATTAGTGGTTCTCCTTTCCATCACCCCCCCCCCCTCCCCTGCGTATTCCCCGGTTGAATGAATCGCTGCTAAATATTTTCTAACGAATTGGCCCCCCCCAAAAAAAAAAAAATATGTGCTCCCCCCCCCCCGCTTATTCAACGGCCGGCTAAGTCGCCGCTAAATTTTTTCTCAAGATTTGGGCCCCCCCCCCCCCCTCTTGTCGCCGGCTGGATCCGCCCCTGGAGACTGTCTACACCATTACCAATGTAATCACACTCAATGAGACCACGTGTTATACAAAATTGAATTGCTATATATTATCGTTGAACCTATTACTAAATAATAATTTAAAATACATAAAATATAATCGTTAAAGCACAGGTTTTGAAATCAATCAAATTATTTTCGCCTATTGGACATCAATGATAACAATGAATTAGTGGTATACCTTAAAGGTATTACAAAGTTTTGGTATGGGGTCATGAGTTTGGTTCAAATTAAAATATAGGAAGCATATGCGTTCCTACAATATTCATTGATCGTTGTCCCGGTTGAAATCGAGTCTAAAGTTATGAAATTATAAATAATAAACTCTTTATGTTGTATAGCTCCCTCTCAAGGTCAAGATATTAATTTAGCTATGAAACAATGTTTCTTGACTAAAATCGACCGATTAGCTATTGCCGTTTGGAAATAACATATCACAACTACATATTCTGAGATTTTCATGGTCGCAGCTACCATTGTACGGCCGTAGGCGCTATTTGAAATTTATCAAAATTTATTTTTATATTCAATTTTTCTCGAAAACAGAAGTGTTTTAGGGGGTAATTTTTTTAGTGCTTATAATACATCCACAGGGGCATCCAAATATATCAAAATTGTAAAGATTCACTATCCACCCAATTTTCAAAATTTCCCAAAACTTTGTATTACCTTTAAGAGTTATGACTAATATTTAGACTACTATGTCACCAAGTGTTTTATCATGATTATAATTGTATTTTCCTCAGTTATCTGGCGTTACATTCAGAGGAAATCTGCGGGCTCAGGTGAATTTCAAGGTTGGACCATATGATTTTATCCCGTGAGTATGATGATCATCTTGCCTATGATTAGTCTTATTCGAAAATATAAACCTTCATTAACCAAACACATGTTTATAGTACGATTCGATTTATATTGAAAGATAGTACTATACTTTGATGTGTCGTGATTTAGTCATTGTTGGTCAAACAGTTTTTGAGCGTCAAATAACGCCGGGCTGGAATGCACCCCAGAGAGTGGAGACTGTGCACACAGTCTGTGCGGGCAAGACTAGTATTCAATCCAATGACCGGTGTAATGTAAAGCGCTTAGAGAAATTTTGTATGAAGCGCTATATTATAGCGGAATATTATTATTATTATTAGTGAATGAATCACCGGACTAATGAAGCTCATTTTATGGGGTTCGGCTCGAGTCTCTGCCACCGAATCAATGACCTCTAGCCAAAACATTAATCTACATTTGCCGCTCTCCACCCAGGTGATTTACATCCTGTCCATCACACAAATGTCCTTTAGCTCTTACAGATAAAAATGTAAAAATGTACTTCATGTTTGTTTTACGTACACTGGAAGTCTACAAAACTGCACTGAGTGACTATTTGCGACTGAGAGGTGAAAGAAAGAAAAATGATTAGAAATAAATGCTGTTCTTTCACATAGAGAAAAAATGATTGTTTATGTTGTTTAACCTTCTCATTATTGCATTACTCTTTCACTCCAAAAAGCTGAATACCATGCAAGATGCACCGCCTTTTCATAAAGGCTCTGTACCTCATTTGAATATTAAATTACTTTGAAATTCTTTGTGTGATTCCACTGCCTAACCACATGTAATATGCTCACCTTTTCGACTTGTACTTCTCGTTACTGAATACTATTATAATCATACTTCAGTTGTGTTTGTATAATTTAGGAATTATATAAATTCATTTAAATTAATGGAATCATCCAATAATTGCTATAAAAATAAACTTTCATGATGAGGAGATGGTACTGTGGTTATATTTGATACGAAGAGGCCACAGAGAACAGATGATGAGAGTTTCAGGCCAACAATTTCTTTTTTTCTTCTTCTTCATTTGATCAATCCCCAGACAAGCAGAGCATATTAGGGACATGTATCTTCCACTGATATGGTTAAATGAGGTGAGGATATAACCATTCTAATAATCATCTATTTTCTAAGGAGTATTTTAACAATCTTTTTTTTTTCAACGCCCGTTATTTCTACAATTTTGTCCGTGAATAACATTTACATGGGAGCCGTGACGGCTCAGTGGTAGAGCAGTGGTCTCGTAACCGGGAGGTCCCGGGTTCGAAGCCAAATCGATGTGCTATAGTGCCCTTTGGTAAGGTATTACTCCTCATTACCAAGTCTCTCAGAGAGGACTTACAAGCATACACATGCTTTCTTAGCAGTTAATTAAAAAACCAATCAAGGTTATTAAAATACACATGTTGTTGTTGTTGCTATTGTTTAGGTTTATAGGCGTTCAATATTCAGGAGTGAATATTTACGCCTCTTCTGTTATTTTTTTTTATTTTTCATTTCAAATTACATTTCATTTTTTTTAATATACGGTGTGAGTCAAAAAAAAGTTTACACCTAGAAAATTGCTAATTTAAAAATCATCTATAAACAGTGAACTATTATAAATCTTATGAAAGAGTGTATAATCCCGAATCATTTAGTATCATTTTGTGTGGTATGTGTTCACGCTTGGATGAACAGGAGACATTGTTTGCGAGAGTGCAAAAATCGACTTGCGCCAAAGTTGCTTATGTGATGTTTGAATAACACAATTGGGATTTGGGTATTAATTCGGTCTTTGCAAATCCAAATAACGTCCCTAACAAAATTAATAATGCCACACATATTAAATATCGAATATAAAAATCAACGAACATTTGTGCGAGTGTGTGTGTGTGACTTTACTTCTGCAAAAAGCATATGCAATGCATTTCATTTGATACATTCGATTCTTTCTCTCCACTCCTCTTATCCCAACATTATACATACTGTATAGGCATCACAAGTCGATTTTTGCACTCTCGCAAACAATAAACAATGAACCTTCTGAACCTTCTGAATTTGGAGTCAGCAGGGCGGTATTCCGCATGTCGCTAACTTGTATGGCAGGTGGTACATGCTAAAGTGTGTTTCTAAAGTTCTCAACAGATGTGGCTATTACAGACTGCTGGTCGAGTGCGTTCCATGCTCGTCCAGTTCTTGGGAAACAGGAGTATTTATAAACGTCCTTTCTGGCAAAGGGGATTTCTATTGAGCATTGGTGGTTTCTTCTTTACCTTGACCCTGTTGATACTTGTATGTAGTCCTCTTGCGTTAGGCCAACCTTTCCCTTTTTGATTTTGTACAGCATAACTAAACGACTTTTTCCCCTCCTGCGTTCCAGTGTTTCCCATTCTAGGCAGGTCTGTATTTGTGTGACACTGCAGTCCCATTGGTAGTTTCTGGTTACGAAGCGTGCCGCCCTCCTTTGAACTGCGTCCACTGTATCAGGCGCGTAGCCAGGGGGGGAGGGGGGGGCGTTCGGGGCGGTCGCCCCCCCCCCCCCATAAAAAAAAAACGCCGGCCAAAAAAAATAAAAGAGAGAAAAAAAGAAGAAAGGAAGAGGAAGTAGGAAGAGTCGAGAACGGTACAACGAATTTGAATTTGAATTTGATTCGGTTTATTGAAATAAAAGAACATGCAGCTGGGAAGCTGAAATTATTCAATTTACAAAGTCAATATACAACACAATAAACGATCAAAATATGAATGATTAAAACGTACGACTTTAAATCATGCATAATGAAACAAAATGAAAATCAAATATTACATCAAAATCTAAATATATAACAAACATTAATTCAAAATCTAAATATGTTACGAATATTACATAAAAATCTAAATATATTACAAATATTACGTTAAAATTTAAATATATTACAAAAATTGTCTTCTTTCTCCAATAATTTATGAACGTCAAAGCTTCCGCGCTTCGCGCGGGAGGGGGGGGGGGGGAACTGAATTCAGATATGGATTAAGAGTCGAGAACGGTACAACGAATCGTCTTCTTTCTCTAATAATTTATGAAACGTCAAAGCTTCCGTGCCTCGCGCGAGAGCGGGGAAACTAAATTCAGACAAGGATTTAGAGTCGAGAACGGTAAAACGAATCGTCTTCTTTCCCTAATAATTTAATGAAACGTCCAAGCTTCCGCGCTTCGCGCGGGAGGGGGTGGGGGAACTGAATTCAGACAAGGATTAAGAGTCGAACGAGAATGGTACAACGAATCGTTTTCTTTCTTTAATAATCTAATGAAACGTCAGAGCTTTGGGAACTTGATTCAAACAAGGATTAAGAGTCGGGGACGGTACAACGAATCGTCTCCTTTCTCTTGACTAATGAAACTGAATTTAGATAAGGATTAAGAGTCGAGAACGGTCCAACGAATCGTCTTCTTTCTCTCATAATTTAATGGAACGTCAAAGCTTCCGCGCTTTGCGCGGGAGGAACTCCCCTTCCTGCACCCACCCCCCCCCCCAGGGAGCGCGCTACACGCTTCCCGTGCTCACTACCGCCCCCCTAAAATGAAATCCTGGATACGCGCTTGCACTTTATTAATTTGCCCTACCCTGTATGGATCCCAGGCACAGCTTGCGTACTCTAATACTGGTATTACCAGGGTCTTGTATGCGAGGGCTTTCACATTCCCTGGGCAAAACCATAGATTTCTCCTGAGGAATCCTAACGTGCGGTTGGCTTTCATGGCTGTGTTTTTAACATGGTTCGACCACGTCAGTTTACTGTCTATTTCTTCTCCCAAGTATAAGGATGAGAGCTTTTCTATTGTAAGTCTTGTCCACAAAAGATACAATCCCTTGTCAGAGGTTTTTTCTTATTCGAGATGATTATCACTGAACACTTGGAAGCGTTGAACTTTATGTTCCACCTATTATATCTTGCCCCGACTCCAGAGATGTAAGATCCGCCTGTAAGGAGTCTGTGTGCATCTCATTCTCTACTTCCTTGTATACCAAACAGTCATCTGCGAATAGTCTGGTTTAGCTTTTCAGCAGGTCTGGAACGTCATTGATATACATCAGGAACGGTAACGGCCCGAGCACTGTACCCTGGGGCACCCCGGATAGAAATTGTTGATGACATCCTACCTTCACAAGTCACTCTCTGTGTGCGGAATGTCAAGAAATTTCTAAGCCACCGATGTATATGGTGTCTAATCCCGTAGTAAGCTTTTCCAGTGGTTGTTCATGTGGAACCTTGTCGAACGCTTTAGCAAAGTCCAAGATGGCCATGTGTACCGAGTTACCCCGGTCAAGTATTCTAGCAACATCATCGATCGTTGAGATCCTGTTCATCCAAGCGTGAACACATACCGCACACAAATGATACCAAATGATTTGGGATAAAACACTCTTTCATGAGATGAATAATAATTAACTATTCGTAGATGATTTTTAAAATAATTAGCAATTTTCTAGGTGTAAGCCTTTTTTTTACTCACACGGTATAGATTTGGATAAATTGGATTTATTAAAAGTTAAACTTTTTATTAAATTTTGAAGAGGTCAATGGCTGGTGAGAAAAATGCCTATCGGCTATATTTTACGTCCAAGGACATTAAACAATAAAGAGTAGTCTCGCCCACAAAACCTACAGAAGTTATCATGACTATCGATTAGCTCGTTACATAACTACGTTTAAGACCCCTCCCCTCTCTTCTCTGCATGTCATATTTTAATTTTAATTATCAGTTTTCTTTGTCCTTTTGTCCTTTCTGTCTCTTAACAGACGATAAGACCCATGTCAATTTTATGAATATCTAAATATTACGTACTTTATATTATGTATATCTATGAATACTTATTTATTTATTTATTTATTCCGTTTTATTTAAACAGGGTAGCCCCGTCAGTAATCACAGTACTGTTTTCCAGGGGCCCCTGTAAACAAAATAATGCAACATATATGAAGATACAAACTACTTGAACAATATAAACATCATCGAAAACATCAATACATAGTAACATATAACAGAAAATAAGAGAAGAATAAGAGTGACTAATGAACAAAGCCGTAGTAAGAATATTAAATTTCAATGAGCAATTTCAAATCAATAAAAATATACTCTGATTATTATCAATTATCTGTTCAGATTTTAACATATACCATGTCAGTCATTATATTATTGTTATTATATGTACATGTACAGTCTGTCTTTGTTGTAACAATCCTCAGATCAGAATTTTGCACCTAATAAGAAAATATTTTATCATAAATATCATTATTATTATTATTATTATTATGATAATAATAATCGTTATCATTATAATTATTATTTCTAGTAGTAGTAGTATAAGTAGCAAAAGTGGAAGTAGCAGTAGTAGTAGTCGTAGGAGTAGTAGTATAGTTGTTATTTGGTCATCGTTGATGTTGTTGGTATCATCGTTCATTTTCCAACCTTTTAAATCTTTGTTTTCAGAGCGCGACCCTCCCAGTGGAATATACAGACTTGTATCATAATTACGTCCAGATCCCCCAGTATGTGGTGCTCACGGTCATCGTCCTACTCGTATCTGTAGGGGGTGGGATCGTTGTCGGACTCATCAATTTTCTCATCTGGCGAGCATGGAGAGCGAGAAAAGACAGATTGATGGATGAAGAGAGCAAGGTAGCACCATATTCTACGTTTCGAACACCCCCCCCCCCACCCAATTAAAAAAACAACAATAATTTCTTTAAAAATCTATACAAACAAACACCAACAAATCAAAAAATAATAAAAGCAAAGCAATTAAATTGTGGACATGAAGGATAATCGTTAGAAAACAGTGGCGTATCTGTGAGGACACAATGTCCTCCTCCTCCCCATGTAAATTACAAATAAATCCTCCCCATATGAATGCCTTTTAAAAAGGAGACAACACATTCTATGATTCAATATGTCAGTTTGTTTTAATTGAGCATTTGTATTTATCAAATTGTTTATTTCAATGAATAGATTTGATTAGAGCTACAGGTCTGTAATAAAAATGCACGAGGAGTTTCCCTTCTAATGTCTTGGGAGCCTCAAATTTTCTAACAAATTTGATGGCAAATTTCACTTAAACTGGAATGATGTGAGTAGGATGTCATATAACACTCAACTCTGCCAGGATTTTCAAAAGGATATGTGTTTGAAGACGAATATTGATGATAGAATCCAAAACTTGGGTTTTGTGTTGTACGCAGAAAACCTATATTTTGAATTCTTCCATCAATATTCGTTTTCAAACACATTTATTATTTATTATTATTAAATGACATCTTGTTTCATATACAATGGAATGTTAATGTTTCCCATCACATTGTCTCTTCTTCTATCAAAATTGTGTTTCATCTTAGGAGCAACGCTTTGATATTAATTATCGATTTTTTTTTCCTCTCCTTTCTTTGTTCTTTCTCATTTCTCTTTCTTTTTTCTCTTTCTTCTTTATATTTCTCTTTCTCTTTCTATTTTCTCTTCCTTTTTAAAATCTTTTCTCTTTCTCTTTTTCCTTTCTTTTATTCTTTTCTCCTTGCCCTTATCTATTTTTCTTGTCCTTTTCTCTTTATATTCCTCCTTTGTCTTTGTTTGTGTGGTCTGTTTGTCAAAAAGCAGCATCTCAGTTCCACCAAGAATACTGAGGAGGTTGAAAGCAAGGATTATGCTTCTGTTGTTAATAAAGTCGTTTAATCAGCGGTCTCCAGAGACACATCAACCGAGAGACGTTCGGCATCGTGGCTTTTTGCTCCGTATGCCACTGGTTGAATAATAGTATTAATATGTTCTGATGGTAATAGTGCTACTATGTTCTGATGCATAGTGACGTAGCTTTGGACTTTGGAAAGGGCATGATGAGGGCAAGTGCCCCCATTCGAATGACAAAATAAACTAACGAAAGAAACGGGAAAGACAGAGAAAAGGGGAAGGATAGGGGAAAAAGTGAAGCGATATGGACACTACCTCTCCAACATTCCCCCTCCGACTTTATCCAGTGACTGGTCGCCGCCCCTTTCAATTGCCTAACTTACGCTGCACCATGCACTGCCGATACTTCCCCAAAATGATACACATTATATTATTGCAATGTAAATTAAAGACGTGTGTTCTTGATGAAACCATTGCTATATAGTCACAGATCAAGGACTTGGAAATATAAGGGGCACCCGCAAGTGATGGGAGTTGCGCTAAATATTGAGAGGATGTATACTCCTTTAAACCTCTCTCATGCCACCATATTATCATCGTGAATTATAATTATTTTACTTTTATATGTGTCTCTCGAAAGACAGGGCATGAAGCGAAAAGAAAATTGAGAATTAATTGTATTTATACTTCATGACTTTATTAGCGAGACGAAAAATTAAATGCGTTTATTTTTGTTAAGAATCAGTATTTAAAAAGAAAAGAAAAAAAAATGGCATTAAATCAGCTGAAATAAAGGTCTCATACTGGGTTGTTCCCTGTATAAGAGATGTAACACATGGCTGTTCAAGGTTTAAAAAAGTATGACCCCCTCATGTTTTGCAAAAGCGAGAAGATTATCTGCGTAACCAGCCTTCTATTTAACACAAAATAAGATAAATTATGTTGCCTTATAAGATGCCCATTAGTCATGCGTGTCTACAGATAGCTGTAAACACTTTGTATTTTATGACACCATTGTATCTTATGATCTGATTGCTGTCATTTTGCCCATGTCATGTAGCCAACTTGAGTTCACATTGTTTTAAAAATGGAAACAAATTTAATTGAATCGAACTGAATTGAGCTGTCACGGGAAACTTTCCTTTTAAGAACGAAGATAATTATAACAGCATGTATTGCTTGTTGGAAAATTCTATGAATATAATACCATCATGCAATATACATCAATAAGTCATTTATGCACAGGTGGTTGATCCTCCCTTTTTTTTAAATATATTTTCAGAGGCAACTGTACTCATATAATATGACTACAGGGTGTGTATATCTATTTGTCAAATGCACAAATGGTACTACCCTCTTTTTATAAAAGGTAAACACTTTAAGGGAAAGTGAATTTAATATTCATAAGAATCACTTTTTTTAAAGGGGGACTAGGAGGGCCATTGGAAATCATCTTTTGTAAAGAGTACATCATTTCTGTCTCAATGCAGGAGGAAATGAGAGGAAGACTTTTTATCGTCAACTTGCCTATGGTGGACATCACGAACCATGGCCATAGTGTTGCCCTGGCCTCGTGGAATAGGATAGAAATATCGTTAAACCATCACGCTAATGATTGCATTTTAAGCGCGGACTTTATGTAAGGTTGCACATGGCTTTTAATGAAGATGTCCATCATTTGCTCCATCAGCTTTTATGCACTTTGAATACGATGAAGGCTCGAAATTTGTTATATACTGCCTTGTTCTTCCACTTTTATACATCTTTTTATTGTTATTGTGTAATACTGTATATGGATAAGGTGTCGTCCGTCTTTGACGAAAATGCTGCTTTAGGGCAAATATGGGATTGTCTTGGAAAAGCATCTTAAAATACCTCTTTTGGAAACAGTACTTGATGAATGCACATGACTGTATATTTTTCTGTAACTTCAAGTCGACAGGGTACAAACTCGGTTGTGATATTCATTATGTTTAGGCCTGCATAGTTTATAAATGTTTTGACGGTATATACTTTATTGAAATGACTATGAATTTTACATTATATTATATAATAAAGAAATGTTCTATATTTTTGGGGTAAAATTGCATGTAGTATCAACTATAAGTGTGGATTATTGATGCTGTTCTACATAACAATAATACTGATGAATGTCTGGGGTTTTGTTATTGTCGTTGTTAACACGATCTCAAAAAAAAAAAAATGGGTGGATAGTGATTCTTTACAATTTTGATATATTTGGATGCCCCTGTGGATGTTTTATAAGCACTAGAAAATTTAGCCCCTAAAACACTTCTGCTTTCGAGCAAAAATTAAATATCAAATTTACCGGTGCTCCCGGTAAATTTTGATAAATTTAAATCTCAGAATATGTAGTTGTGATATATAATTGCTAAACGGGAATAGCTAATCGGTCGTTTCTAGTCAATTATAGGTTGGTTGGTTGGTTGGTTCTTCGTTTAGATGGCGCTCTTCAATCTCAAAGATTATTTGCGCCAGTCAATTTCGTGTATAGCTTTGGCGTGGGCTTCGGAAATCAAGCCCACGAGCGACTTTCCTTGGTGAAATGAAATTAATAATGATATGGTTTTATAATAAAAAAAAATTAAAAAAAAAAAAAAAAAAAAAAAAAAAAGCTGCAATATTAAAATTGCATAAAATGCACATAAAAGGCGAGATGGGAGTTAGTTGCAATTGTTCATGGAAGAACCGCAAATACTTCATTTTATATATTATTACAGGATCGACATAAGTTAAGGGGATCACTGATAGCTTTAAAAGCTATCTAAAACGATTAGTATCGTATATGTAACCCAATAATTCACGAGTAAAAATTGGGTTAGACATCAATAATTGTTTCAGATTGGGGTTGTTCAATTTAATCCTTTCTTTTAAGAGACGTCTATCTTTGTCGTATTTTGTACAATAGAAAATAAAATGTTTAATTGTTTCATCTTCTTGACAAACTTCACAAAGACCAGTATCGTGTTGGTTAATTTGAAAAAGGTAATAATTTAAACTACAGTTACCTACTCTTAGTTGTTGTATCAAGCATTCTTCTCTGCGAGATAGGCCTTGTCTATGTATGGGCTTTGAAACGTCGCTATGCAAAGCATATAAAAATCTACCGTGTTCTGCATTGTCCCATTCTGCTTGCCATAATTTGTTATAATGGATCAAACGAGAGGCTGCCAATTCACTTCTTGTATTTGGTATAACTATGTCTATACACCTTTTCATGGCTCCTTTTTTGGCAGCCCGATCTACGATCTCATTGCCCCTAATATCGCAATTATAGCTTAATTAATATCTTGACCTTGAGAGGGAGCTATACAACATGAAAAGTTTATTATTTACAATTTCATAACTTTAGACTCGATTTCAACCGCGACAACGATCACTGAATATTGTAGGATCGCATATGCTTCTAATATGTTCATTTGAATGAAATTCATGACCCCATACCAAAACTTGTATAACCTTTAAAGGGAAACCCAACCTCGATAGCAAACTACTCTCGAACAAAGCAGAAAAATCAGAGCAGCAGACTTGTGAAAGTGAGAATGAAATCGGACAAAAAATGAGAAAGTTTTGAACTTTATAAAGTTGCAATAGTATGGGCTCTTCAAATAGGCTGAATCGGCAAAGCTGTAGTGATCTCACATTCATATCTTTCTTATTATTGGTCCAATTTGTTTCAAAATGTAGACATTCTGTTTATCTGATTTTTCCGCTTTCGTTCAAATGAACTTATTACAAGGGTTGGATTGCCCTTTAAGTTGATTTTTCGAAAGTTGTGGCGATCGTGTTTGTTGCTATTGGTTTGTTTTGTTTTTGTTCATACAACGAGAAGAAGGAAGGCAGCAAATCTGAAGTACAGGTTGCATGTGCCCTTATCATGCTTGTGTTTGGGAATCTTTCTATCTATTATGCTAGTACTTCTGTTACCAGTCAGCCTAACGAATGAATGCTTTTATTTAACATCCTTACTTCCTTGTCTCCTTCCTTCGCTTTTACCGTTCTAGGGTAGTGAGTCATATTTAGAAATAGGGCTTGTATTGAAGAAGAAAAAAAAGTGAAAGGGGAGGAAGAGAGAGAGAGCGAGAGAGTGAGCGGGGGGTCGAATAAGAGAAATACAGCTAAACCTGACAGAGATAATAGTTGATGATGGCAAATATTTTGTTATGATAGAGAGAGAGAGAGAGGGGGGGAGAGGGAGAGGTCATATTATATTTATTCTTTGGAACTTACAAAAACAAGCTATGCTTTTCGGTAAGTTCTTGTTTCATCTTATTATGTTGATCTTACTTTGTCAACTATGTTCTTTTTTGTGCAAACCATTGTTATATGAAATGGAATAAAATCAATCAATCAATCTTTGTTTTCTTTATGTATATACAATAATTTCGTTTGTTTGTTTTTGTTTGTTTGTCATTGTAATCATATTTGAAATGTATTTTATCAACAATTTGTAGTTTTATCTTGTGGATGGACCCCTTTAAAGACGAGCTTTCAGCTAAAAAGGGTGATCCTTCCCATATGTGGAAAATAAATAAATAAATACGACAAAAATGAGGAGCTGTTTTGTACAACCATCCCCTCTCTTTTCCTTTCTACAGGGGTACACAAATATTCACTGAATGGAATTGTGTGCTATACCATCATAATTGCATTTGTTATTGTTGCTATGCTATAATTAACATTATTAAAGTTCCTTTCCTTAAATATTGTCACAGCTTTGTAACGTAATCACATTAAAAATGTCAACATATTCATGAAAAAATAAACATACACGTATTAATCAAAGCGAGACTCATGAATTTGTGGAATAAATCAAATCAAGTTTTGAGACTAAGACTTATGATGAAAAAATACAATGTTTACAAGAGAATTAATTCATAATTGGAAGCATCTTTATTAAAGACTAACTCCATCCCATGCTTCAGTAATCAAGTAATAATATGAATAAGTGAGAAATTTCAACAAGTCGCATCATAACATGTCAATTTTAACAGATATGCATTTCGAAATCAAAAGGTATGGTGACAAAAGGGGATTTTGAAACACACTTCCCCCAAAACTCATCTTTGCATTGAAAGGTTAAAAATAGTGCAACGGTATTCATTTAGGAAGACAAGTCGCGTATTGAACAGTGCTCCTGGGATGAAGAAGTGAATTTAGATGAAAAAATGCATAAATGATATTAAGTCGAAGTAGAAATTGCCGTACATTATATGTACAACTATATACGTTCATGAAGTGGGAATCTGAAGAACAGACATTTAAACACAACGCATGTTCTAAATATACAATATAAAAATACATAGACATGTTATAAACAAATTTAAAGACACGCAACATATTATACTTTTATGATATAAACATGATCCATGATTACAATTCCTTTACACCTTGGATCAATCGCAACATGTTCTCACAGTATTATTTGTGGCAGAGGCGTACGCAGGATTAAAAAAAGAGGGGGGGGTGGGTTTAACAATTTTAAATCGACTCAGCCGGCCGTTGAATAAGCGGGGGGGGGGGGGGGGGGGGGGGGTAAGAGGACACTTTTTTTTTTTTTTTTGTCTCGAATTTTGAAAATTTATCATTTTGCTCCGTGGGGGGGGGGTATTAAAGGTCACCTTTTTTAGGTCAGCCATTGGCATAATTTTTTTTTTTTTTTTTTTTTTTAATTAAAAAAAAAAAAAATCACAAAGGTGTGTGGGGGGGGGGGGTTCGGTCCGAAATACACACATAAACAAAACTGAAG